AGTTCTCTGCGGCCTTTGATGATCTGGTGACGACTTGATTTATCCGACTTAAAGCATCTGCATTTGTGTTATTAACGCCAGGTTTGTAATGGATGGTGTATTGGTGTTCTTCCAATTTTAAACGCCACCTCGTTAGCCGTGAACCGGGGTCCTTTAGGTTAAACAGCCACACCAATGCTCGATGGTCCGTTATAATATTAAACTGTTGACCAAAAAGGTATGGGCGAAAAGTTTTAACTCCCCATACTATGCTGGCTAATTCCTTTTCAGTAGTATTATAGTTTATTTCAGCTTTATTTAATGTTCTGGATGCATAAGCAATGGGTAGGTCCTTCCCAATTGGACCTTGAGAAAGTACACAACCAATTGCGTAGTTGCTAGCATCACAAGTGAGATTGAAGGGTCTGGTGAAGTCTGGATACTGAAGGATTGGATAATTTATTAGAAGGTTTTTCAGTTTTTCGAATGACTGTTGGCATAGATCACTCCACATGAATGGCACATCCTTCTTTAGTAACGAAGTTAGTGGTTTAGCGATCTGTCCATAATTTTGTATGAAACGCCTGTAATACCCAGAGAATCCCAAGAACGATTTAATATCTTTTACGTTTTGGGGTATTGGAAAATTATGAACACATTCAATTAATTTCGGGTCAGGCTTAACGCCTTCGTCAGTAATTTGGTGTCCTAAATACGTGACCTCTTTCCTCAAAAATTCACATTTCAAGGGCTGTAGTTTTAGATTGAATTTTCTGAGCCTTTCCAAAATTTCTGTGAGTTTTTGTGAATGATCTGGGAGGTCCTTAGCATAAATAATGATGTCATCAAGGTATACGAACGCTTTTAACCCATTCAGGCCTGAAAGTACCTTGTTCATCATTCTTTGAAATGTTCCGGGAGCACCCTTTAGACCAAACGGCATCCGCAAAAATTCGAAATGGCCTTTATCCGTAGAGAAGGCTGTCTTCTCGCGATCTGCCGGGTTCATTGGCACCTGATGATATCCTTGGGCCAAATCAAGTGTACTGTAGTATTTGGACTTACCTAACTGATCTAAGATGTCCGTGATATTGGGAAGTGGAAAAGCATCTCCCACTGTAACTTGATTGAGTCGTCGAAAGTCAACGCATACTCGATACTTTACTACTCCGTTAACATCCGGTTTCTTCGGAACCACCAAAAGAGGAGCATTCCATGGCGAGTCACTAGGAGCAATTACCCCTTCTCGCTCTAGAATCTCCATTTGTTCTGTTATTTCTTGCCGATGTCGCTGGGGTAGTCGGTATGGCTTTTCATGAATTGGGTGAACGGCTTCAGAAGTCTTGATTTCGTGAGTAATGGCGGTTGTTGCTGTGATTTTATCCCCTTCCAATTGAAACACATCAGAGTATTCCTCACAAATAGTAAGCAATGAGGATTTTTCTTCTGAGTTTAAATGGCAGGTTCGCAGGGCTGAATGTAAGCGAGATATTCTGTTCCCATCAACACTAGGTTCTGTATTTTCCAAAATTTGTGATAAGTGCACATTAGCTTCGTTGAAATCTTCGTGTTCGAGATGCTCTAGTTGAGGGATTTGTAATTGAACTTGATCGACTGTTGGATTAATAAAAGGAACGTATATAAGATGATTTCTCACTGTGGTAACACAATTTCCACAGGTGAGGGCCTTGGTAATGCTTTGGCTTGAAATTAAAATGTTTGAACCCTCTGTTTTATTGGGAGCTGGAATGGCAACGAGAATTTCTGTTCTTGGTAGTATGGTTAAATTCACAAGAGGAGGGAGGATTAATTCCTTTGACTGGTAGTCGATTATAGTTCCATGTCCGATAATGAATGGTTTACCTAAGATTCCTTCATTTGGTACTGGGAAATCGGATTGAACAACTTGGAATTCAACGCGTCTTTTTTCACCTCCAATTTGAAGTTCGATAGTGACGGATCCTAAAGTCGTCACAAGATTATCTGTTATTCCTTTGAGTTCGTACACGGTATGGTCGTAAACTATTACTTCATCTCGCAATGATGAGAGTTTGATTAAATTTAAGTCACTGCCAGAGTCGATTAAAAATTTGCTGTCTGTTGGAATGGTCTGAGGGCTTTGACACTGTACATGATCCTGTTCAATTTTCTGGCGAGCCGTATTATTTAAGATATTCCTGCGAATGAGATTGCGGCTGTTTTCAGGCTTCCTGCCGGGCGCCCGCCGTCGGCACTCGACTGCGTAGAGTTTTTTGAATTTTGTGAGGTAGTAGCTGGAGATTCTGCGGATCGCTTTGAATTTACGTATTTTAGTTTTCTGCATTCCTCCTTGGTGTGACCTGGTTTCTTGCAGTAACGACAAGTAATTGTATTAACGATCGCCTTGTGGGCGTTTTGAGGTGTTTGACCATTATTCGGCTTCACTTGGAGAGACCTGCAGTCTCTGGCCCAATGTCCCATTTTTCCGCAATGGAAACAAGGGGTACTCGGTTTCTTTGTAAGTGTTTTTCCATTGTTTTGTTTAGCAGACGGTTCATAGAAACGCTTTGACTCGTCGTGCGATTTTCTCACCCTTTCTTCTTCTCTTGCAGCTTGAATCGCTTTGTCAAGAGTTGGTGGATTTCGAGCCTTTATGAAGTCTTTCAGTTTTCCCAATCCTTCGATAAAGACTTGAATGGTCTGTGCTTTCAAACTGTCCTCCAATGCTGTGGCGACTTCTGCGGATTTTCCGTTTGTTTCCTGTTCTAATATGAGTGTCTGTAAGGCCTCAATACGCGATGAATATGTCATTACGTCCTCATCTCCTTTCTGTTTGATCGAATACAGTTCCAAATATAAATGTGGCGTAGTTCGCTGGGGTTCTAGTGACGTTTTTAGGGTATCCTTGAGTTCAGTCCAGGATTGAATCGAACGAAATTTTACTGCGGCCCGGGCCTTTCCCGTAAGCCGAATAATAATGCCTTGGAGCAGTCGCTGCTTAGCTTTCTCATTGGCACACATAATCGCGAACTCACATGTTTCTAGGAACAGCTCGAGATCTTCTTGATTTTCTCCACTGAATGTCGATGGTAATAACTTCAAGGCTGCTTCTAATCCGATGGTGTCTACGGATTTCCCAGATTGTGATAGGAGTTCTTGTGGGTTGTTCTGTGTTGAGGTGTTGATCACTGGATTTTCGTTCTGTCGGGAATTTCCTGTTTCGATGTTGTTTGGTTGTAGAAGGGACCCGTCATCGGCCATCGTGATGGTCTGATCTAAAATATTTGTATGCAAGGTATGGTTCGTATGAACAAGCACGTTATCTACGGAAGCTAAGGTTTGGTTAACGTTTTGCAACAACGTCTCGTTAAATTCTATGATTTCATTGGTCTGGTTGATAAAAAGATTATCCCCCGAAATTTCCGCAACAGGTCGTTCGGATTCTGGAACTTGTGGATTTGCAAACCTAACAGGAAGACTGAGACGTGGAGCAGGGAGAGGGTTCTCGGAGGTTTCCTCTCTATCTTCCAATTCAGGGGTAGGGGTCCTACTATTAGTATCTCCCGTATCACTCATCAACTAAGTGTTAAACAATAACGATTTATGCAAACTACTACTACTGTTGCTAACAGTTAAAATAAATTATTAAATGCTATCACTACTAGGTTTGATGACAGTAATAATAATAATAATAAAAAAAATAAAAAAAAAAAAAATGTTCAATAACTAATTTAAATTGTTAGTATGTTAGTAAATGTTCTGTTACTCACAACACCGCAAACTGTATTGATGCCGCCATGAGTGTTGTCATTGGAAATGTGCGTTGTTGAAAGGGTCTGGATGAATCGGGTTGGCTCTGAGTGTTGCCAGTGAAAAGAATTATAAACGACGTAAATCCTCTTCGACAGCTCTTGTTGAATGGACGTTCGCTTGCCCCGAAACTGCTGGCGCGGGGACCACTACAGGTAGTGGGTTTCAATTCGGCTCCGTTATTGTTGATTGTTGTTGTAAACAATGTTATCAATAGTCTTATCAATTTTGATAACTCTTATCAATATTGATAACAATATCGATTGTGACTATCGATTTCGATTTTGACTATCGATTTCGATTTTGACTATCGATTTCGATTTTGACTATCGATTTCGATTTTGACTATCGATTTCGATTTTGACTATCGATTTCGATTTTGACTATCGATTTCGATTTTGACTATCGATTTCGATTTTGACTATCGATTTCGATTTTGATGTCTTACCGTTGCTCGAACTGGTTCGACCGATGTCGGCTTCGGGCGGCGCACCAATGCCACGCCCAAGAATTTGTTGACGCCGATGGTAATAATAGTAATAATATTATTTACGTGATTTTCAGGAATGTTCTGTAGAATGTCTGAATGTTAAAGGTCTGAAATGTCTGAGTTGATCTGGAGTGTTTGAATTTTCTGCTGCTCGTATTTGAGTACGTAGACGCAGTGCGCGATTTACTTAGCTATTTAAACACTTAAAACAAATTTTTACTTTAAGCGTAACACCGGAATCTACGGATCCCACCGCTGCCACCAAAAATGTTATGGATTTTACACACAACACAAAATAAACGTACGCACCAATTGAAAATTAAAATAATTAATGTATTTTTTATTAAAACTGGTAGTAAAAATTAAGTGTAGCTACAATCTGTTATTCGAACACTGGTAATTCTACGACTGACTGACTCCCTGTGTGTTGTCGTGACGGTGCCCCGTCTCACATCAAAAACCCTTATTCAGCGGTTCCCACGGTGGCAGCGTCTTACGACACACACTCTGCATTGTGATTGTCTATATATGTTGTTAACATATATAGATATATAAAAAATAAAATATGTACTAATCAGGGGTTCTTAACAACCTCTTTATATATTATATATTTCAATGATTTTCTGGTGGTGCAAAAACATACCTTTGCACCAGCACCACCACATTTTAGATATGGTGGTGCAATTGCTGCATTTGCACCACCCAGTTTACGCCACTGTACTAGGATAAAGAAATTGAGGATATGGTCCGAAACTGCAATGAATGCATAAATGCGAGACCTAATCCTCCTAAGTCAGTACTAACTCCGTGGAAATGGCCACAAAGACAATGGACGAGAGTGCATTGCGATTTCTTAGGTCCGTACAAAAACAAAACATTCTTAATTATTGTCGATGCACCCACAAAGTGGCTAGAAGTTTTTCAAGTAAATTCGATGACAGCACAAACGGTCATAACAAGACTGTCTGAGTTAATTGCACGTTTTGGCATTCCCAGAACAATAACAACTGACAATGCAAAATGTTTTAACGGCGATGAATTCCAGTCATATTGCAAGACACTAGGTATCAGGCACTTGACAGGGGCACCTTTCCACCCAGCCTCAAATGGATTTGCCGAATCTGGAGTAAAAATAGTTAAGCAATTTTTTAATAAATGTTCAACATCATTACACCATTTGAATAAATTTTTATTGATGTATAGAAATACTGTACACTCAACCACAAATGAAACGCCAGCAAAACTTATGTTTGGCCGCTCAACACGTACTATTTTTGATTTATTAATCCCAAACACAAATGAAGTAGTTATTAATAACCAAATTACACAAATAAAAAATTCAGGAAAAAGAGATATTAATATAAAAGAGGGTGATTTGGTATTAGTTAAGGATTATCGAAATAAAAATGAAAATTGGCAAAAAGGAAAAATAACAGAAAACATTAGTAAAAACACTCATAAAATCATACTAGACGAGGGTTCTGAATGGATAAGACACACTGATCAGATATGGCCACACAACCAAATAAATAACTCACTGTCACCTACACCAGCTAGACAAGCAAATGAAAATTCTAAAAATACTGAAACAGTTGGTGAAAATCAAAATCCCGATCCGGCCGATCCCGTAATAGTAAATAAAACACCCAGACCAATTAGATCTAGAAAACCGCCTCAGCGATATTCTCCAAGTGATTATGCTTAGGGCAATAATTGCAATAATTAACTATTAATTATATCAGTTATCATGTTATATAATAAATACTCGTATATAAAAAAAAAAAAAGAAATAAATAAATAAATACTAACATAGTAATTAAGCACTATACAAAATACTTTATATTTTTTTTAAAGGAAAGAGATGTTGCATATTCAGCATTTACATTGTATACTAAACGTTTATATTAATAATAATAATCATAAGTATCATATTACGATCGGTGGGGATTGTCCATCGGTCATTAGCAAGTAGACAATTTTATATGTACGTCAGTTCGTTTTATACTTTTCACAATAAAAGACTATAATATACGTTTGTGTTATTATTCATATTAACAATACACAACAAGGATAATTCTAAAAAATGATATAAGTACCTAGCTTTTACGTTATATGATATACCTTTATTATACCTATTTATAAAAAGTGTGTTATATATTATGTTTCTATTCAACTATACAGTTGTATTTATTTTGAAGTGGCGGCTCGTGGTTTGGACGACGGGTTAAAATTAATTAATTAAAATTAAAATTAAAAACTAAAATTAATTTAAAGCAGAAAATTAATTATACCTATATCCTTAATTCTACATTTTTTATTAAAAATACAAATTTTTAAATAGTATAGTTATTATAATACATTTATTATGTGCCAACATTAAATTTGTTTCCTTCATATACCAGAAGCATTTAGCATATGCACACACGAGCAGTGTTTGGACGACCAGCAGCGTCGTCCGTGCATTCAGCAATAATTCTGAATACCTACGTACATATTACATAATATGTGAAGTCGCTGCAATAGTGTGCGTGCCGCATGCGAGTAAATTTAAGCTGCGATCTTATATTTGAATTTTGGACAGGCAGCGTATAAAGTATACTACTATATGGGTAGTTTCAGTGGCGTTTCCTGACTTTCGGCGTTAGGCGTTAATGTGTGAGGAAAACAATTAGGAAAACCCCCTTATGGGAAATAAATTCGTACCAACTATTAATAATCAACATATAATTAAAATTATTTTTTTTAAATACTTTTAAATTTTTAAAAATACATTCAATATCTATAAAATTAAATATAATATAAAACTGAAAATGTATAAATGAATATAATAATGAATATATTATAGACTGATTTTTATTTGAATTCAAATTCTATTCTTCTCTCTTTCTCAATAAATTTATTTATTTAAAAATCAATCAATGATGTTCGATGATTATGAACTGTATGAACTAATCGTGAAGTAAAGTTCCAATGAGTAGTACCCAATGTGGGTAATTTTTTAGTCATAAATTCTGAAAGTGCTTTTAGTCTTTTGGGAGAATGAGAAAAAAAAACAAGTAAAGAGTTAAGACCTCGAAAAAATATTTTAAGTTCCTTGTTGCATTCTAATGATTGTTGAAGTATTAAATTAATAACATGTGCATAACAATGAGTAAACATAGCTTTAGGATATTTCTCTAAAACTTTACTTTGCAAACCGTTTAAATGACCAGACATTACTGCTGCACCGTCATATGTTTGTGCCACTAATTTGCGTTCAATTTTAAATTTTTCTACTACTTGATTTACGTGATTAAATAATGAGGCTGCTGTTTTGTCAGCACTTATGAGTAGTATATATGTACCAGTCCTGGCGCACCTCATAATATATCAGTAAAAGATCACAAAGAAAACAATGTGCAAAAAGATCAGAAAATTGAAATGCAATAATAATAAAAATGTTTTTCGCAAAACTTATTAAATACAAAAACCCCCAAAATATTTTTCATAATACTTATGATATAAATAATTAAAATCGAAATGCAATAATAATTAAAATATTTTTTAATAGAATTGTTCTATTACAAATAAAAATCGAAATGCAAAAGAACTTATATATTTAAACGAGTGTCCAATTCGGACACACGTTAAATATCAAATATTTTTCTAGTCTTTTTGATTTTGATTTCTAATCAGTGTATTGAGATGGTTTACAAAATCGTTTCTATCTATGTTTGTTTTATAATGTCCCCAAGCTAATGTATCAATACCATTTTCCAAAATAAATCTTTTATCATCATAAACACTTAAAGCTTTTTGGTTTTGTTCTACAGTAAAAATATCATGTTTCTTAGTTCTAAATAAATTTTGTTTAACATATTTTGATTCTTTTTTAAGTAAACATTTTTCAAAATCATTAAAACATATTTTATTTTCTACAACATTTTTTTTAACACCTTTAGCTTTTTTAATTTCTTTTTCAGTATCTAAGATTCGATGTCAATATAATTTAGATATTAAACCTATAAATTCAGTCATTATTTTTCCATTTAACTCATCTTTAAACTTGCCTAAAACTTTTTTGTTAACTAAGGGTAAACCATAAATATTATCTTTTGGATAATCTGAAGTGTCAAAATGATCTAACATAATTTTCATATCTTGATAAAAATCATTAGTTTTTATTTCTAATATTAGTGAATCTGTATCTGTATATAACAATCTAACTCTATTTCCATATTTTTTCTTTATAATATTATAATAAAAATCATACATTAACATTTTAGATAAATCTAAAATACACATTCCTACATATATTGGTTGTTTGAAAGATATTTGTGTTCTTTTCATATGTACAGCAGCTAAATTTTCTGTAAAAATTGTCCTTCGATCAAAATTTGGTTTTGTAATTAATTTCTCTAGTTGGGTTGCATTAGTACATAATTTTATATCAACATGATTTCGAACATTCATCATAGTACGTCCATAAACACTATTATTCATTAATTTGAAAGATTCTTTTTCAAACTCATTCTTAGCTTCTGATCTAAGATTAGTATTAAAATCAATATAAACTTTTAACCAAGGAGATTGACTAAATTCTAATACTCTATGAATTTTCTCTATCTTTAAACCTAAATTAATATATAATTTTAGTGTTTCATAATGTATTATATATTTTTTCTTATCATACAAAGTTGTTAATAATTTTGGAAGTTGTTTGTTATCAAAATGTCTTTCTGGTGCTAAAGGGAAATCTGAATGTAGATCATGAAGTTCTTTAGGGTAAGATAAATCAACTTCTAAAATATAACCTTTACGTGATTTATCAGAAATATTCATTACATCAAAATCATTCAGATTATCAATCCATTTGAAATCTCCAGTAGGTAAATATTTACTCATTGATCAACCATAAAGATTATTTGCATCTAAGTATTCTAAAAATATTGATTCATCCTTTTTTTTAATTTTATCTCCCATGTATTTATTATTTGCTTTTGAATGTCTTTGACTACATTGAGATAATCCACCTCTGATTCCAGATTCAAACATCAATAATTGATCGACATCTGTTAATAAATCTAATTTTACTTTTGTCATTCTTAACATGCAATCCCACGCAAATCCTGGTGTTGTGTAATACCACATAGGATTTATATTTATAATTAAATATTTATATTTAAATTTATAATTTTTTAAAGAAATATCTCTAAAATTTTCTATTATATCTGTTAATAATAAAACATCGATCTTATTATATAAACTAGTGAATTCACGCATATTTTGTATATTAAACACTTTCCAAATTTTCTGTGAGTTTTCATATTCCTCTTTAGTTATATTTTTATCTGTGAGAGAACTATAAAATTTTTCAATAGGAGGTAAACATGTTTCATTAAATTTTTCTTCACAATCCATATACTCATAAGGATATGCTAACTTTCTAGTAACTAAATCTAAATGTTCTTCAGGAAAATATTTACTAAGTTCTTTAAATTTATTTTTTAAATTTAATTTCGAATCATTTCTTAAATTATTTGTTAACTTTTCTAAAGAACTAGGTAAAAATTTGAATGAATCTATAAATCTTAATTCTGTACATATTTTTTATGTTTTTACCTTTCCTAGTTACTACACGTGACATCATTTTTGAAAAAGAAATATATTTTTCCTCATTATTTGCGAGCAATTTTATTCTTTCATTATCGTTTCCAAATTCTTTTATAAATAGATGGGCATCATAACCTGAAAGATTATGAAAAACAATTGGAATAAAACGTGGATTTTGGTAATTAAGATTACAGATAGAATGTGCTGCTCCTCTATATTCTCCAGTTAAGTGGTCATGATCCCGAACTTTTCTCATATTTTTATTTTTATTTTCTATTTCGTTTTTAAGCTTATCTTCATAAAATTTTAATTTTTTTTTATAATATTTAATAGGTCTTCAATTTTTTTAAGTTCATATTCATACAATTTAAAATTTTTAACATCAGTATTTTTATAATATTCAATAGTGTCTTTACTTATTTTAATTTTTTTCTCTAACAGTGGAGGTAAATCAGATAAATATCTTTCACAAATATGACATTTATCAGATTTATTATAATAATTATTTAATTGTTCTGCATTCAATGTTTTCATAGGAACTATTTTATCATATATTTTAGAAATAAGTTTTTCTTCATTTTTCATACATTCATAAAATTCTTGAGCAACGTTTGGACCAGAATATGTTACAGGAGGTTTATAATCACCATTACTATATTTAATATAATAACAAAAATTATTAGGTATATGTTTCTGATAACAATTAGTAAAAGACTCTGTATCATGTGGTTGACAAGTATATATTGGTTTAAGAGTACATTCATAGTCAGCAAAAACCACAAAAGGTACTCTTAAGGAATGATTATAATTTTGAAATTCTAAAGTTTTCTATAATATTAGCAGCTTTATTATTAGCACAATAATGTTTATGATCATTTAACTTATTTTCTGTATCAAAACTATTTAAACACATTTTACACAAAAATCTTTTATGACCATCTTTTGTATTTTGTCTTCCTACTACTTTCCATAAATCTTTAATCCAACAATAATGTAATTTATTCACATTATCCTTATCATCCACTGTTAAATATAAAAAATCTATATGATTAGTTTTTTCGATTTTAGTTATTTCTAAACATTCAATTACATTTTTATCTAAACAATAAATATTAATAGAAATATCTTTTGTTCTTTTAACAAATTTCGGAACGTCTGTGATTTTTACCGGAAATTCAATATCTTTAAATTCTTTATCAAATTCATTTTTAAAAGAAATATATTTAGTTACTTTTTGAGCATCTTTTTCAACAGGGTGTAAAGCAGAGAGTATTGCCCAAAGAAAACATTTATCATCTTTATTTTTAACATTTATAATAGCATTTTTATTACTAATAAGTTTAGGTTTACAACATTTTCACATAATTATTTGGATAGACGAAGCCCCAATAATAGGAAAAAATTCTAATGAAGAAGTCGTCAATTTTATTGCAAAAACAATAACTTGTCATTTGCCAGATAAAAAAAAATTTCCAACACTACATGAAGGAGTAATTACCAACCAAATGCATAAGGATAATAGCTATTGCATGAGAAAAAAGAAAACTACAACTGGGATAACCACTGCTTGTAGATTTGGTTTTCTTAGACCAGATACTAAGGAAATTATTCTAAGAGATGTAGCTACATCAATAGTTGGTCGAAGAAATTTTAAAAGTAAAAGTACCTAGGTTATATGATTTACCAAGAGATTCAAGTTTTCAAAGTTTACATTAATGATTATAATCTAGCTGTTTTAATGGCATGGAATGGGAATATGAACTTGCAATATATTGGAGAAAAATCATGTGCACTCAGCTCTTAAGTTACCAAGTATCAAACCAAGCCTGAAAAAACCAATGCGGCTCAAACATTTGACGTCATAAATAACACAAAAACTTTATCCATCAAACTTTGAAACGTGGCATTACATTCACTTAGTAATGGAGAATGCGGCTCATTAGAAGCTTTACACTTCTTGGTATTCCATTGTTTGGTACTGACCCGTGTACCACTATAAAATGGTTAGGTGTAAGTATACTCAGAAATAGGAGATTAAAAAGTAAAGAAGAAATTGAACTATTAGATGCTGAGTCAAATAACATATTTTTTCCTTCTATCATTGATTCTCATTATCCAAATAGGCCAATAGAGCTGGAACATTTGTCTTTATTTGATTATGCTAGGAACTATGACATTGTTAAGCAAACACCTAAAAATGACCAAGTAAAATATTATGCCTATCCTGGATATGGATTTATAAAAGAACGATTTCGATCAAACTTAATAAAACATCCAAAATACAATGCAAATTTAGAACCAGAAAAATATTTCCATTGCTTGTTAATGCTTTTCAAACCTTGGCGCATAGAATCAGAACTTCTTGGAAATAATAATACATATATTGAGTCGTTCAAGTCGTGCAGAGATTCAATTGATGCAGCTTTAGACTATCATGAACGACTTGAATATCTCCGGAAATCTAAAGACGATATGAACGAGCCGCTTAAAAATTTGACAATGAAAATGACTCCAAATGGCGAAAACGATGAACTTCAACAAGCCGAAATTCAAGACGCAATGAGTGAACTAGAAATGGGAACGATTAATCTAAAACAAACAAATGATTTGATAAATAATTTGAATAGTGATCAAAAAAAAATATTTAACTTTATCAAAAAAGAACTACAGCTTGAAAATGAAAAATGTATGCGGCACTTTGTATCAGGAGTTGATGCCACTGGTAAATCATGGTTAATCAAAACTATCAAAGCTTATGTAACTACATATCT